GCGTGGCGCCCGCCCAGCGGAGTCGAAGGGGCCCTGAGACACACAAATAAATACACACAAATAAAAGGATTCCCCATATTTTCCCATATGTTCTGGGTTTCTGTCTGCCCCCCCACTTCCCGTGTTTTTTCCCCTCCTGAAAGACACCGAGCTGGACTCGGCGACACGTCGTCGTTAGACCGACGAGGGGCCCCCGACAGCGAAGCCGAGCGCTCCTGGGCGGGGTGGGCTGTCGGCCCCCTGATCGGCGATCGGTGGGCTCCCTGGGGGCCGGCGCGTCCCCCAGTGAGCCTCGGCCCTCCTCCTCCTCCTCCTCCTCCTCCTCCTCCCTCTCCTCCACCTCCTCCTCCTCCTCCTCCTCCTCCTCCTCCTCCTTCTCCTCCTCCTCCTCCTCCTCCTCCTTCTCTCTCCTCCTTTCTCCTCCTCTCTCCTCCTCTCTCCTCCTCTCTCCTCCCTCCTCAGCCCTCTTCTTGAAGGGAAACTGGGACACACTAATAAACACACACAAATAAAAGGATTCCCTATATTTTCCAATATTTTCTGGGTTTCTGTCTTCCCCCCCACTTCCCATGTTTTCCCATATTTTCCTGGGGATCGACGAATATTTCCCCTCCTGACTTCTGGCGTCGGCCTTGCAGCTCGCGCAGCTGATCTTCCTGGCACCTCCCGGCGTGGCGCCCGCCCAGCGGAGTGGCCGAAAGCATGTGCACGCAGGAGTTTTCGACCCCCCCCGTCCTCCACCCCCCCTTCTCGGGGAGACGTAAGACTCGGTTTAAGGGGGCTCGGGTTGGCCCGCCGGGGCCATAACAATGGCACGACCTAATCTGAAATTTGACACGAGTTACCGCTGCAGACATCCCACGAGAACTGAACCCCGGAAGAGGTCCCAACATGAAGACTCCTCTCCTCCTCCTCCTCCTCCTCCTCCTCCTCCTCCTTCTCCTCCTCTCGGGGGCGCACAAACATGGATTAGCGATCCATGGGTTTGCACGCTGTCGCCAAATCCATGGATCGGGGGAGGTGCCCTCCCCAAAATGCGGCCGGTGCCGCCTCGTTCGGCGGCGGAAATCCGCAATTTCCTATGGCAACGGGACCCGTCGCTAATCCACGCCACCTCAATCCAAGTTTGCGATCGACTCCTCCTCCTCCGCCTCCGCCTCTTCCTCCACCTCCGCCTCCGCCTCCCCCTCCGCCTCCGCCTCCTCCTCTTGCTCCTCCTCCTCCTCTTCTTCCCTCCGCCACCTCCTCCTCGTGGTCCGTCTCCTTCACCATCCTCCGTCTCTTCCTCCCGCTAAAGATGCAGGACGGGCTCCTCAAAAAGCGCAGGCGAGCCCCGAGCTCCGGCGCACCTCGAACCCCACGCTTCCCCGCCCTCTCGCCGGACCCGAAAAAGACACTGCTGTGGCCCAACGCCCCCCCCCCCACCACCTTGGTTTTGAAGGAAGCCGCCCGCTGCTGGCAAGCTGCGACCAGACACATCAGCGGGCGACATGGCCGACTCTGGGCACCCTGCACCCCAAGAATGATGGAGGAGGAGGAGGAGGAGGAGGAGGCCGACGAGGAGGAGGAGGAGAAGTCTCACTTGCTTCCACTAACGTTCCGCACCTTGGTTCAGGGGAGCCGCAAGGGACGATGTGGCCGACTCTGAAGAAGGAACAATGGCATATGAACATCATGGACTATCGACGGTCCGCGCGGATTTCTTGGATCGGAGCGCGCCAGGGGCGGCGCCGGAGGCGCCGCCAAGGGGGTCCCAGCGCAGATCCATGAAATCTGCGCGGACCATCAACAATTTATGTTTATGCCGTTGTGTGTGTTTCGGCTCCGGGAACCCTGCACACAAAAATGATGGAGTCCCACTTGCTTCCACCAACCTTCCGCTCACAAACCCGCCGCCGGTTTACTTCCGTCGGCTTTCGCTGGGCTTCCACCGGAATTCGCAGCAGGTAAGGATGCTCTAAAGGCGGGGTCCTTGCTGGAACGCGCCATATAGCAGTCAGGCGCTAGACAAGACACAAACCTAAGAGGGTAAGAAAGACGCCCTCGCAAACGCCTGCAAGTCTCCCAAGGCCCTGCTTAGAGGGCACCTCCTCCAGGACACTGAGAACCGGCTCTCCAACAAGGGCTCAGAAAACCAGCCCCATCTCGTTGAAGGCTTCACGATTTCTGGTGTCCCTCGACTCGAGCTGGTGACCTGCCTGGATCCGCATAGAACTGCGTTAGATGTACCCTCGCTTTGTTCTCTGGCCTGCTTCTCGCAAGTCGATCGGAGAATAGTGGAGCGGGGCGGAAGAGGCCCAGTCCGCGCGGCGAGCGTGCAGGGCATCTGGTGAATGCAATCCCCAGAGACAATAGTGGAGCCCACGATTTAAGGAAACTGAAGAAGAGGACTGCAGTGCAAGACTCTTGGCGGCGTGCACAATGGGGTAGGGCGAGGGGGGGATGCTTCTTAGAAGGCTGCTTCTTAGAATGCGCCGGCCTTATCTATCGATGTAGGGCCCGCGCCTTCTAAGAAGCAGGGGTGCCTCTAAGAAGCTTTCCTCCCCCCTACCCCCCTCTTCGTGCGGCTGCTCAGCGTGTCGCGGCGGTGGCGCCTGCGAAACGCTACGCCCTGCAAGCTGATCGCGAGTCGCCCCGCTCCGCGGTGCGGGCGGCTGCGAACGGCTCGGGACATGGACTTTCGGAAGCTGGGGGTCGAGCCTAAGCGTGGTGGCCAGAACTGGCAACGCGGCACGTCAGAAACAGCTTCTGGCCGCAGCGAATCGTCGGGTATTTATGGGGCCATGAACACGAACACGAACACGAACGCATATAGGCACCGTCTGGGGGTGCTGCGGGTGCGGCGCCGGAGCGCCGGTGCACCAGGAGAACAGAAAGAACGAAGCCCGATCAGAAGTCCAGCTCGATCCCGTTCCAAAACCGGTTTGCGACAAATTATCGTATTTGAATCATTTGCGCAAGCTGTTCTTGTTCTGTCCGAGGCGATTTGTTAGCAGCTCTCTTGCCAAGAACCCGTCGATGCTGCATTCAGGATCTCCCTCCAACATGCAACTGGGATCAACACGGGACGTCGGATGCTCGTGGCTAGGTATCGGGGTGCTGAATTGGCGATGGCTTGAGGTTATGAAACGGAGGTGGAAGTGGTACCTTCGACGCCGGGGTTGGAGGTCGGAGTGCTGACATGGAAGAGGTTTGGCGTCGGTGGGTGGAGATCGACACTCAACGCCAGATGCTGGACGCTGAAGGTATACTTGTTCCTGTGGCGCAGGCTGGAAGTGGATAGTCGTAAGCGGAGGTCGAAGGTCGGATGCTTGATGCTGGAGGTCGGAGTGTTTAGCTGGTGGGGGTTGGAGGTCAGTAAGTGGACCCACTAGAAGTCAGAGTGGTGCTCGAGCGGGGCATGTCGGTCGATAAGCGGGTGGAACATGAAAGTCTGATGTTCGAGCCTGAACATCGGAATGTTGAACTATGGGTGCTGGAGGTTGATACTCGGAGGTTGAAGTGGAATGATGCATGCTGGAAGTTGGAGGTCAGGGTGCCACGCTGGTGGAGGTTAGACGTTGATAGGCGGACGTGGGGGTGGTGGTGGAAAATTGGACGCTGAACGCCAGAAGTTGTAAAAAGGTGCGCTGGTGGGGTTGGTTGGGTGATAGATGGAGGTGTAAGTGAAGGATCTGCTGACGACGGGAGGGTGCTTGTTGAGCTGGTGGTGGTTGGAGGTCGACATGTGAGGGTGGGAATGGAGAGTCGGGCGCTGGGTGGTGGTGGTCGGGGTGGTGGGATGATGGACCCTGCAGGTCGATATGGAGGCTGGAATGCGAAATTGGCCGTTGCAAGCTGAAGGGTGGAGCGTGGAACTGAGGGAGGTTGCAGGTCGATAGACGAAGATGCGGGGGAAAATCGAAGTTGGATGCCGGAAGTCGAAATTTTAAACAAGTGGAAGTGGGAGGTCATCGGCGGAAGTGGAAGCAGTGGTTGAAAGCTGGAGGTTGGTCGGGTAAAGTGAAGTCGGCGAGTGGAGGTCGAAAGCTCGAGGTGAAATATTGGGAGTCGAGAAGTGGAAGTCGAGAGTTGGAGGAGCACGACTGGGTGTCGTCAATTGGCGGCGGCAGCGGTCAGAATCACACCGGGGTGCTGCCAGTGTGGCGCCTCGCTTGGCCTGTTCCTCTGTCGTATGCCGCAAAAGATGGCGCCACATGCCCCCGCGCATCTGTCGACGCAAAGGACAAAACATCTGAAATATTCATATCGTTCCATTCTATGGCAAAACCAAGATAACGTCGGACGTCGTCAATCCACCTGGATTTGGGTCTCCCCACTCTGAGTTTCGCCGTGTAAACAGGGTCGCGTTCTGGAGCCCATTGAAATACCTGCCGCGCCCATTCGTGCTCGGCGGTATTGGCCAGTTTTCGTATCCAGTGCCACCTTCGTACTCGTACTTGGGAGACCCTGTCTGCGATCTGCAGCCTCTCCATTGCCGCCTCGGCCTTGCGGGTGGCGCGCTTTGCCCGATCAACCCGCGATTTCAAACATTCTGTCTCGGTTTCCACATCGTGAATGCACGGTGCGGAGCCGGGCGTGCTGTCAACGTCATGTCCGTCGTCGTCGTCGTCGTAGTGTTGCTGGGCGTTATCGCGCCCGTCGTCGTCGCCGTGGATGGCCTCAACTGCTCGTGGTGCTTGTTGGGCGTTGCTTGTGCTGATGCGCCCGGGTACCTTGACTATCATGCGGAACATCTGTCGTTGTGTGCGCCGCAGTCGGTTCTCCCAGTCGGTCGTTAGCGCCCAGGCCTCGCAGCCATGCAGGATGGTGGGCGCGACGGCCCCGTTGAAGAGGCGAAGGCGGTCTGATTGTGAATATGTCGGCACTGTCAACTCTTGCTTGAGTGCGTGGCGCTGCCGCCATGCTGCGGCAATTCGACGTTCTACTTCGGATGCGTGGGGCGTGCTGCACCGCAAATGTCGTCCGAGATACTTCGTGGCGCGGTAGGGCGGCAAAACCTCGATCGTCATGTCATGAACAGTCACGCTGTCGGGCGCGTGCATGCCGCGTGGTGGTCGGTTGCCGTTGTGCGAGATCTTCGTTTCGTCTGGATGCAATTCCAGAACCGCTTTGCCCGCCTCGGTGATCAGGTCAGAAAGCATGTCCTTGAGGTGGTCGAGTGACCCAGCAAGTAACATAATATCATCGGCGAGACGTAAATTGGTCATTCAGTCGTTGGCATGTAGCCGCAGCGTGAAACCGTACTTTCCCAGTGCCCATTGTGATTTGGCCCGTCTCATTATACTCTCTGAGACACAGCTGAAGAGTAATGGGCTGAGGGGTTCTCCATGCTCCGTTACGCGCAATATGTTGGATGGTCTGCCCATGCGTTCCGCGTGAACAGAGGCGGTCAGTTCAGTGCATCATTTGGACAAGAGTTTGATGCACGGCTTAGGCGCGCTTTGCTTGGCCAACGATTGGGCGTCGGAATGCCGCGCCGGTGAAGGTCGGAGGTCGTTGGGCGGAAGTCGAAAACGTGAGTCCGGTGCTGGAGAATGAACGTCGGAGCGTTGTGATGACTGAAGCTGGAGGTAGGAAGTCGGAGCTGGAAGTGGGAAATTCGATGGCGGCTGCTGGAGGTCGGCATGCTGGGCTGGCGGGGGCTCGATGTCGATGGGTGGATGTGGTGGTGGAGTGTCGCATGCTGGAGGTTGCGAATCCGACTACTGAGTTGGTGGACACTGGCAGTAGATGGGCGGAAGCGTTGGTGAAATGTCTGTCGCTGGTGGCTCGATGTTGGACCGTTGAGTTGGCGGGGGCTGGAGGTCGAAAGTCGGAGCTGGAAATGGAGGGCCGGATGGTGGATGTTAAACGTCGGAATGCTGGCGTGGTGGAGGCTGGAAGTCGATGGGTGAGCTTGTTGGCGAAGAGTTGGAGGCTGGAACTTGGAAGCTGGAGTGCTGAATTGATGGATGGTGGAAATCAAAAGTCGGCGCGGGAAGTGGAAAGTCGGATGGTGGATGTTGGAGGTCGGCAGGCTGGTCTGGTGGCGGCCAGAGGTCTTTGGGCGGCGGTGGAGGTGAAATGGGCGACGCTGGACGTTGACAGTTGGAGCGCTGAGTTGGCGGGCGGAGGCTCGAGGTCGAACTTCGGCGCTGGAAGTGGAAAATCGGACGGTGGATGCTGGGGGTCGGCATGCCGGTCTGTTGGGGGCTGGAGGTCGACGAGGGGAGGTGGTGGAATGTCGGGCGCTGGAGGTTGAGAGGTGGAGCGCTGAGTTGGTGGAAACTGGAGGTCGGAAGTCGGAGCTGGCAATGGAAGGTCGGGTGGTGGATGCTGGAGGTCGGCATGCTGGTCTGGCGGAGGCTGGAGGTCGATGGTTGGGGGTAGTGGTCGAAAGTCGGTCGCTCGAGGCTGACATTTGGAGCGCTGAGTTGGTGGAGGTTGGAAGTCGAAAGTCAAAGCTAGAAGTGGAAAATCCGACGGTGGATGCTGAATGTCGGTATGTTGGTCTGGTGGGGGCTGGAGGTCGATGGGTAAAAGTAGAAATGGAGGCGAAGAGCTAGATGCTGAAGAATGAATGTCGGGAAGGTAAGCTAGTGACGTATACAAGTCGAGAAGTGGAGGTGGACGAAATTAATCAGATATGGGATGCAAGAAGGTCGGGAAGATCAGCAAGTGTTGGCAATCGATGAACGGCATGTAATCGAAATGCAGAGGGTCGGGAGTCGGAAAATATAGCAAGAGTCTGAGAAGCCGCCAAGTGATGCTGATGCCCTGATCGACGTTGCTCGGCATGTCCACGTTCATCGGAGGTCGCCGTAGGATCTGACGAAGGTGAAACATAAGGTTGGTCAGCACACGCCGGAGCTGCAGGAGTCGGAGCCTGGGACGCCAGAGTCGGTGAAACGTGTCCTTCCAACGCTTTGGGCGGAGATGAACCTGAATATTGTGATGTTGTTCCGAAGTGATATGAGATGTAAGCGTCAGTGCCGTCATTTTGAAGCTGACGGCGCTGGCTGTCATGCCCCCCTCTCCTATAAATCACTGTCTGTGTCAGGGTCTGGGTTAATTTTAGCGCGAAACGCATTTAGTGATTCATCCACCTGCCCTTCCACAAATTTCCCATTGTCTGTTGTTCTCCATTGTCCGTGAACGTCGTACCATGCAATCCTCTTCCCGTTCAGTGCAACCGTCCTCTTCGACCGTAGTAAATTCACATCGTCCTGTTTGTGCTTGTCCATCCTTGTCACATGATACTTTGTGTATCCCATCTTCTTGTCATGAATGTGCTCCTCCTTCGTCTGGTTGTTCTGGAAAAATACTCCTTCCAACCACGGCTCCTTCCCGGTTTTTGGACGTTATTGTAAAGCGTCGTCTTATCGGATACTGTAGGGCAGGTAATCATGCCCATCTTCGTAGGGGTAGTAAAGGCATGGAGTTGCAAGCCGCTGGTGTCATATTTGATGTTCGATAAGATGCCCTCCAACATCTTGATCAACTCATCTGAGGTAGGCATTCTTAGAATTCTATTGCTGCCACTTGCTTGGCTCTGTCGTCGTAGACCTTCGTGATCTGAGGATACTCCATGTCCTGGTGTAGCTTGTTCTTGATGTCCTGTACGTCCCTCTGTAGTGCCGTATTCGAAGCTTCGACCTGCTTGACGGTGTCCCTGACCTCCCTGACGGCCTCCATCGCTTTCTCGGCTGTGGCACTCGCGGTGTGTGCAATAAGTTTAGTTTGGGCGACGTCCTTGGTGAGATCAGATAGCATGTCATAGATTTTGTCGATCTTCTCATCTTTACTCATTTTGTCCTTGTTCCGCGTCCGTCTTCAACTCCTTCGCCTCTGGAGACCCTGCGGAACCATCTGCCTTCCGTACCCCCTCCTTCATCATCACAGGCCGACTCGTGAGAGTTAGTGGTGTGGGCTGTGATGTTCGGTAAGCGACGTGCAACCTTGAGATTTTCGGCCTTGAGCTTGAGCCATCCTTCTGGCATCCGATCGCCCACACGCAGGACTTGCCGCCGCTCGGACGTCCCTTTCCCGTGCATGTGTCGGTTCCGTGCGTGCTTTTTGTTTTGCTCGATGGTCCAGGATGGTCCTCGATGGCTCTCGCCGGGGGAACATGCACACGTCCGAGCGATGCCAAGAGGAGTGGCCCCGGGAGAGAGCGACCCTTCGTGCGCGTCGCTTTCCTGGGGGCCCGTGGGGGCCCGGCGCGCCTGGCAAGCCGCTGCCGCCGCAGTCCACCCACGACCGGCGGGCAACATGTCAGCTTTTGCCATCGCCTCTCGCTGAGGTGGCCCGTACTCCGTGACGCGTGGATGGCTTTAGATCGAATCCTTGTTCAGATTCCTCCTCCTCCTCTTCCACCTCGTCGTCGTCGCCCTCCCCATCCTCCTCTTCTTCCTCCTCCTCCTCCTCCTCCTCCTCCCCCTCCTCCTCCCCCTCCTCCTCCTCCTCCACCGGCGATGCATCAGCAATGCATCGGCGATGCACTGGCGATGCATCGGCGACGTCGACGTGAAGAAGATCGGGCTGCACATCGAGACGCATCGGCGATGCATCGGCGATGCGGCGCGATCCTCCGACCCCATGTACTCCGACCCCATCTAGGATAAAACAGGGCTATAGGATCGGGATAAATCGCTCCAGAGCGTTCCGGAGCGCTCTCAGAGCGTTCGGGAACGCTCTGGAGCGGCCGCGGCGCCCAATACATCCTCCAAACCCGCCGATTCTCATAGATTTCGAGTTATCCCGATCCGATGTTGTCCCGATCTTCGCGTCGTTTTAAGAGAGTAGCTGTCAGGACCTCTGCGGGCCAACACCAAACGAACCACTCCGGCAAAAGGCCACCCTTACGCGCACGACTAGATCCGAGGCGGCGCGGCGCACGCACCCATTGAGCAGGGACCGGCCGTCCCGGCATTCCTACAATCCTACCACGAAATGTTCTTAGAACCCCAAAGAGTTCGAATAACAACAGCAATGTTCTTAGAACATAAGCCCGGTGTGCTAAAACAAAACAGCCCCAGCCAGAAATGTTCGGAGAACATTTCGCGGGAACCGCAAGCGGTTCTTAGGACAGTGTCTGGTGGGACTACAGGCACCCCAGGACGCTTCGCCAAAACTCTGAAGGGGCCCAGGGACACACAAAGAAATACACACAAAGAAAACGATTCCCCATATTTTAACATATTTTCGGGGTTCCTGCCTTCCCCCCCACTTCCCATAGTTTCGCATCTTTTCTGGGAGTCGGCGAATCATTGTGTCTGTGTGTTTTTTCCCCTCCTGATACTTGAGCCAAGCATGTTTCAGGAGGGGAAAAAACACAGAGACACAATTAATCGTCGATTCCCAGGAAAATATAAGAAAATATGGGAAATGGGGGGGAAGATAAAAAAACGAAAATATATGAAAATATGGGGAATATTTTTATTATTTTGTGTATTTATTTGTGTGTCCTGGGGCCCCTTCAATGCTCACGAAAGCGGGCCGTCCGAGACCCGGCCCCAGGCGCTTCCTGTCGAGCCCCGCGGGCGCCCCTCGGCCTCGCTCCTCCTCCCTCCCTCCTACCCCCCTGCTCCTCCCTCCCTCCTCCCTCCCTCCTCCCTCCTCCCTCCCTCCTCCCTCCTCCCTCCCTCCTCCCTCCTCCGCCCTCCTCCCTCCCTCCCTCCCTTCCCTCCTCCTCCGCCCTCCCTCCTTCCGTCCTCCTCCTACCGCTTCAACTCCCTCCCCCGTCCTTTTCCTCGTCCTTCCTCCCTCCTCCGCCCCGCCCCCTCCCTCCCCCCCTCCTCCTCCCTACAATTCCCTCCCTCCCATCTCCCCCCCTTCTTCTCCTGCGTTGGGCCTGCCTGGACTCGCACTGGTCGCACCTGGGCGGGCGGGCGGGGGGTGGAAGGGACAGGGCGCCGCCGCGGATCCTTGCGCGGCCCGCGTGGGCAGCCGCAGAAAGAGCGAAACGAGGTTTCATCCTCCCATCGTCGGATCCCCCCATCAACCCCCCTCCCTCCTTTCTTTTTCCTTGTGGAAAACTCTTCCCTGTCACACCCCGTGGCAAGTGGGAAGGGCGGGCTGGGCGTTTCGCCTGAGACGTCCTAGCCACTAATGAGCCTGAAACTTAAAAACTGGCGACGGTTTCATAGATGGAGGGCGGATCGTTTCCAAAATGTGGCTCTCGCCTTAGCGTCGCGCGCATTCGTCTTCAAAATGTGTAGGAGCTTCACGGATTGAGGAAAAATCGTGTTCAAAATGAGGCTCTCGCCTCAGTGCCGCGCACACTCGCCGTCAAAATGTGTAGAACCTCGCACGGATTGAGGACACATGGTTTTCAAGATGTGGTGTTCGCGCCTTCGTCCCGCGCACACTCGTCTTCAAAATTAGCTCGAGGTTCTCGCACTGAACACAAATCGTTTTCAACATGTGTTCTCGCCTTAACGCCGCACGCATTCGTCTTCAAACTTTGCAAGCGATTCACAGATTGAGCACACGTTGTTTTCTAAATGTGGTTCTCGCCTTAGCGCCGCGCACATTCGTTGAGCAGGTTGCAAGGGTTTCACCGATTGAGGGCAGGTGGTTTCCCAAATGCGGCTCTCGCCTGAGCACCGCTCAAACTGGTTTCCAAACACTTGCTTGATTGAGGGCGACTCCTTTTCAAAATGCGGTTTCGTCTTGAAGCCGTGAACATTCGTTCTAAAATGTTGCACTAGTTTCACCGGTTCTCATGACTAGCGTACCAGACGCTGCGTTTCGGGAAAATCAGGAATGTCAGGGCGCAATAGTTACGTGCATTCGCGATGTTGAAGTCCCAGGAGTTGCATTATGGCACGATTCAGGATCATCAAGGAGCAACGGTCAGTATGACTCGTGGCGTTGAAATCCTGAAAGTGGTGGGACTCTGGTGCGCCCCCGGAGTTTCACACGGCTGGAAACAAACCCTTCTAGGGCATCGTTTATCCGATCCCCATACCCAACGGCGTGGCCTGGGCCCCACTGGCCGATTTACCCCCCTAGATGGGGACATAGGCCGTCCCCTTCGGGTTTCGAGGGGTGTATCCCCAACAGGGGTGGTAATCTGGGGAAGTCTCGAAGGGGATGAGGATGGGGATGGGGGTCGCATAAACGATACTGCATGACGAGGGAGCTTGGAGGACGGGCGCATTCCAACACCATTGGTGCGTCGTGGGTTTGCACTGGCCCTCCTCTCAGGGGGACGTAAGACCTGGGTACAGGGGACTCGGAAATCCCCGACGAGGTCGTCAAGAAAATGACGAGGCCGAGCCTGCATTTTGATGAGGCCTCCCGCTGCAGACATCCCCACGAAACTCCTCCTCGTCAAAATCCGAGGCGCGGTCGTCAAAAAACGGAGGAGGAGGAGGAGGAGGAGGAGGAGGAGGAGGAGGAGGAGGGGGAGGAGGAGGAGGAGGAGAAGGAGGAGGAGGGGGAGGAGGAGGGAGGAGGAGGAGGAGGAGGAGAGAGGAGGAGGAGGAGGAGGGAGGAGGAGGAGGAGGAGGAGATGAGATGGCGAACCCGAGTCCTGGCAAACCCGGGTCTTGCGCTCCCCCGATCCTCCGCCGCGCGCAGACGCGCGGCGCGGGCCCGAAGGGGGGGGCGGTCGGCGTGGCCCGGCACGGGGCCAGCCCGTCGAGGTCGGCCGCCGCGCCCCGAGAGTTCGGCAAGACAGCAACAGCAGCGGCAGCGAGAGGAGCGAGAGAGAGCGAGGAGGAGGAGGAGGAGGAGGAGGAGGAGGAGGAGGAGGAGGAGGAGGAGGAGGAGGACACCGCCGCGCGCGCGGCCACCGCCACGGACGGGCTCCGCCACGGACGGAGAAGAGCGGCAGGGTCGAACGTCCGACGGTCCCACGCGAGCAGTCATCCAAGACTGCGCAGGCACAGCCAGAGGGCTGCTTCCCCTCCCCTGAGAAGCCCCGCCGCCGCAGAATGAGAAAGCCATGCGCCCAAATGTGTACGCGCCACGCCAGAGAGGGAGGGAGAGAGGGGTGGGCGAGGGATCCAAGGCGGGCCATGACGGGAGCTCGCGGCCACAAACGGCAGCGAGATGTCTGCGTCAAATCTACAGCTCGGGACCCTTTTACGCAGCAAGTCGCCCCGGCGGCCCCGGCGACACGCTGTGCCCTGCAAGTGGACAGCGTGTCGCTCCGCTTCGCGGGGACGGGCTGCGCGGAAAAGGCTCGGGACGATGACGCATGTGGCTCGGAGAAAAGGACACCGTGCCGCGTCGAAGCGCGGTGGGCCAGAACAGGCGGAGCGACACGCTGTCCAACAGTTTCCGACCGTGTACCGAGAGAGAGAGAGAGAGAAAGAGTGAGAGTGAGAGAGCGAGAGAGAGACAGAGAGCGAGAACGACAGAGAGAGGGACACATCAACGAAACAACAACAACAACAACAACAACAACAACAACAACAACAACACCAACAACAACAACAACAACAACAACAGCAACAACAACAACAACAGCAACAGCAACACCAACACCAACACCAACAACAACAACAACACCACCACCAACAACAACAACAACAACGACAACAACAACAACGACAACGACAACAACAACAACAACAGCAACAGCAACAGCAGCAACAACGGCAACATCAGCAACAACAACATCACCAACAACACTTAGACACCAACAACAGCAACAGCAACAACAACACCAGCAGCACCAATACAACAACACAATCAACAACAACGATACCAAACACAACAGCAACCACAACACTGGCAATGGTAACCACGCCAACAACACCAGCAGCAACAACAACACCAGCAACACAAACAACAAGACAACGCCAGTATCAACAACAGCAGCGCCAACAATAACAACAACAGCAATGACACTGACGGCAACAACAACTACATCGTCACCAGCAACAACCACAACGACGACGAAAGAGCAGGGACGGGGCAAGGGATCGGGTTTGCCCCCGCCGCGGCTGTGAAACCGCGCCTGAGGCTCACGAGGGTCCAGCGGTCCATGGACTGGTTGCACTCGAGGCGGAAGCTTGGGCCGATCGCCTGCGCCCCGCGGGCGCGCGGCCGAGGGAGGAGGAGGAGGAGGAGGAGGAGGAAGAGGAGGTGAAGCAGGAGAAAAAGGAGAAGGAGGAGGAGGAGAAGGGGGAGGCGGAGGAGGAGGAGGAGGAGGAGGACGAGGAGCTGGGAGGAGGGGGGAGGAGGAAGAGAAGGACCAGGAAGAGGAACAGGACAGAGAAGGGATTGTTTGATTGGCTCCTCGCTGGAGCATATGGCTTGTCGAGACTGGGTGGCACTGCAGCTAGCAAACTACTAGTCAGGCGAAAATCTTCTGCACGGGCACCAAGGACGCACGGACAGTAGTTCACCACAGGCTGTGAAACCGTGGTCAGTACTACACACATGCAGGGCACAGAAAGCAGGTGGGCGGTCCTGCCAGCGATGACGCGTATCCCTTGAGGCAGTGGCCAACGGGGCGGCAGCACGAGTGTGACGCACGAGTGTGCTGTCTAACTTCGCACCCTAGCATCCAGCAAGACAAGGCGAGACGCAATCATCTTCGCCTTGTCTGAGCATGACCACTGGAAGAACATATTCTTCTCCTGCCAAAAAGCCGAGCAGTGAGCAGCAACGATACTGCACGATATCAAAACTCGCACCTTGACCATTCCTGTACTGCTGGGCAGTATCTACACAGAGTGGCTGCACGTGCAACTCTACCAGCGATGTCCCCCCTGAGACGTCGGACAACAAAATGACTGACAGGTCTTGGCACACGAGCCTGCCGGCTATCTTCGCGTCCTCGTATCAAGCGCCAAAGCGACGTGATCTGAAGGCGATGCGCAGTTAACCACAGAGCGTTACCAAAATGGTTCTCTCCTGATATATTACCGAGAGCAGCCGTGCATAGAGGAGGCAACAAAAAGGAAAGAAGAGAGAGCAACAACGCAGGCGGCAACGGTGAATGTCCGTCAGCGCCTGGCTGGCGGGCAATGCATGAGAGGAAACTCGGGATCGCGCGTGCGGCGCGCTACGGATGTGCCACTAAGTCGATCTGACCTCACGCGGGCCCTGGGCCGCAAGCCCGACTGGGCCGAGCGTGAGAGCCTCTTCTTGTCGCTACCCCGCTGCAAGGGGGAAGCGGCAGTGCAACGGGGCACCTGTTCGAACTGCAAGTGCATGTCAGGGCGGGCGGAGAGGGGCTCTCCCTCGGGCGGCCATCGACAGCAATGCAAACGTGGCAAATAACAATGAAGATGCACACGTACAGCAACTCAAACACACAGTCTGTTGGATGAGAAGGTGGAGGGAAACGTGCGCGGGGAGAGAGGGGATAAGGTTCCTCGCTCCTCAACTGAACTCCACTTGACAACTACACAAAGGCACGTGCATTTACGAATTGAAAATGTTGCGTCCAGACGTGGGATCGCCCCTCCATGGCGCAATATGTCTAAGGTGCTCCTCTCCTGTCCGCGTGGCCTTCTCTAAACGTCGCCTGCGGGCTTCGATCCGATTCGATTCCATGCGAGCACGTGTCGCCGGTGACAACTGGATAGGGGTCGGTGGCGGACGCTCTGTCGGCGGCTCCTCGAGAAGAGCGACAACGTCTGCTATGGCTTGCTCCTCGCGAGCTCCCCGTGGGCACACTGGAAGTGGCTCCGCCTCTGGGTCAAAAACTAAACCCTCGGCCTGCTGTTCACTTGCTGGAGGCTCAGGTGACAAAAAACGGTAAATTTCAGGATCGGCCCGATCATGGCCTCTCCTAGCCTTGGCCGAAACAACATCTGGTGCACAACCTTCGTCCGAACCTAGGTATGGGCCCCATGCAACGTGAAACCGGATTAACTCGGCTCGAAGCTTTTCCTCATCTTCTCGAATGTCAAGGGGATAGGTAATGTCGGCTCACGTCACATGCATTTGGTTTCTGCAATCCACCGTCGCATCAGCCAAGGTCCGACATAAACCCTCTGGCTAAGTCTTCTCCTTAGAAGTGCGCCACTCATCCCGTGTCCAATCGAACCCCACGAGGACCTCGTGAGCCCGGCGTCCGTGGAAGCATCTCCCACGGCCTAGTGTCTGTACTAGGCGGTCTGATAGTGTCGCCATATGTAGTGCAAGAATACGCGTTGGTGCTCGGGCCTTCTGGCCGTACCCACACTGGTCTGGGTCAGCGGCAGTTGCTGATGGAGTCGCCATCACAGCCAGTAGAGGTACACATAACAATTCGCTGACTGCAGCTTGGCGCCAGCTGGCGGGAACTAGGTGATCCGTCAAACAGCGTGCGCCCACCTGCACGTGAACAAAAGCTCAATCATGGCTCCGAGCAATTCGTTTCCAACCCGAAGTTGCTCTTGCTGTCTGGGGGTCACGGCCAGCAGTCCCCAGTAATCATCGTGGGACCCCAGGGGCGGGGGCCCCTTGTCCGAGGCCCATCGGATAGCTGACTAAGTCTCGCATGGTGGCCCTCCGCCTGATAGAACATCTCTTTTAGCGCGTATATATTCTTGTCAAATCTCAAAGGTTTCATGCGCCATCATGTAGCCGAACACAGGGTCGATCACGGTATCAATCGATAAAACAATGACTGCAAAATCAACAGCATCATGTGTCCGCTCTAGACATGCCTGAATGTCTCCAGGCCTTCTACGTCCACCGTGCAAATTCAGCGCGAACGATTCTGTCCGTCTGATGGCACTAAGTAACACCTGCGCCGACATACCTGCGCACTCGCTCGTAAGAAACATTCGCGTATGATAGCGCTCGACCTGTGGCGGGGGCCAGGGAGGAATGTCCTCTTGGTCTTCGTGCGCCGGTTCGTCATGAGCTGGTAGTAGTATTGGAAACGCTCCGGCGGTGAGGTAAGGATCGCACTGGACAAGAACTGCCCTTGCCTCTTCTGCTGTCATTTGTTCCAGACGCCCCGTAGCGGTCTTCGTGAGTGGGTCAGCTGCGTTGCGTGTGGGTACGACTGCGCGCCTTCTTGGCGCACATGCCTTGCTTGTCGTTGTTGCCGACGCGTGTATTGTGGGCTGCGTGGCGAGGCGGTGGGCTGGATTGTCGTGCAATTCAATGGCTGCAACGAGGCAGCGTGGGGAATCGATTGCTAGATGGTCGACTAGGTGGGTGCGGGCGTGGAAGATGGATAAACACGTAGTACCGCAGCCCGTCGTCGAGGCATATCCCTTGGCCGTGGTATTAAGCTGGTGGTGGTTGCGACTAATATGTATGCGTAGCGCACGCATTCTTAAGAAAACTACTCCACACCACGGGCAGTGCATCTGAAAAACGGGTGGTGGTGCAGGCGGGGTAAATAATAATCCACGTTCGTCCGTGTATATACGGCGCGGTACCCCTGCATCCGTAGCTGCATCAAAGAAGCTCTTTCCCACGTGCGCAGCCATAACAGCCCGAGAGCGATGATTTGCTGCAGCTTGGAGCCCTACGCGGATACAGTGTTTCCAAGTGGTGGCACTCTGTTAGATGTATTGTTCCCTAGCTGCAAGGTCGTCCGTTGGTGCGGGTAGGCTAGCGCATGGTAGCGGTGCTTTGTGTAACCACGTCATGTCCTCAGTGAACTGTCTGAGCGCGATGTGATCCTGCATCTGCTGTCGATCCGTCGCATCGTGCCATTCTGCTGCCATGAGTGCAAAGGCAAGTGTTGGACCGGTGTGCAGCAATGACTCGAATAACCGCAAGTGCGCAGCACGTAATAACATAGCGGGCGTAGGTTTGCGCAGCCTTGCGAGCACGAGGGCATCGGACACCTGTGACTGCGATTCCTGAAAACGTACACGTGCTGCTGCTCTGCGCGTGCACATCCATAACCTCACCATGTAGAAGCTTCGATTCAGCTGTAGTGAGCCGTGCCCATGCGCCTGCATTGTACATTCTCCTTGAGAGTACTAAACTGTCTGCTAATGTCATGCGTACCTGTGGGTGAACCGCATTAGTCTTGAAGGCCCGTCATCGCAAAAATTGACGCGAAGCCACAGTAGATGTGGCGCGGTACTTGATCTCCGGGATCAGCGAACCGTCGGCGTCAATGACCGAACCAAGATGCACGTAGCGATGCGCACTCGGGGCACTGAGCTCACCAAACATGCCTGGCGTGCACTGTATGCGCCCACAATGCTCGTGCCATGCCACGTGCGCGCTGCATGCCATATCCCGTCCACATGATCATCGCTGCTATCTTCGCTGTACCAACATTTAGCTTGCGCCCACGCTTCGCAAATGCACCCGTCGCAACTCCCAACGCTAACGACAAAGCTGGATGCATGTGCAACGCAGGTAGTATAACAATTATTGCACCGTCATCTGCATGCGACACACCAACAAGGCTGGTAACAGTGTCGGGCTGCTGTTGCCAGTCTAGTAGGGCTGTGATTTTGCGACTGTTGGTCGTTGGAAATTCCACGGGAAGGCCTTCGCCCTTAAGTCGCCCATGGATCTTGGCCATACATTCGGCCATTTGCATCTCGAAGAGAACGTCTGCGAGGGGCTGGCCTGGGAAAAAAGGACCGCTGGGGCAAGGGAACCTGGTCCGAACCTTCGCGCACCAGCCGCGGCGCCTGACAGCATTGCTCCACCTGAGCCAGTGCACGGGGGTCGTCGACCTGGCCACCGTGCTGTCGTAGCCGCGGCGTGTATTCACGTAGCCTACGCTCCAGTTCCGTCATTGCACTGGGTGGGAGTCCCGAGGCCCGAACCAAAGCTGCGATGGTTTCATCATCCATGTCGATATCTCGATTGGCTTGAATAGCGAGCGCACGGATGGCTCTGTAGAAAGCTTGTACAACGTCCAAAAATAACGCACCAAAAGATAACCGTCGGGCCTTGGCAATGGCTGAGCAACTTCTACCAACCGGGGCGCGCGCGTAGTGCCCCGTCCTGGTAGTCCACCAAACTGCGTTTCACCAGCATCAACGTAAAGCTGTGGCAGGAGGGCTTTTTTTTCAGCGGCATCTTCTCGAGGATTTGCGTATTTGGGATGGTACCAATGTTGACCGTGAGCTGGCGCACTTGGTTGGATCGGGCTGACCAGA